CTGCCTGGAGTTTGCATGTTCTCCCTGTGCCTGTGTGGGTTGCCTCCAGGTACTCTGGTTTCCTCCCGCACAAAATCACACACATTCCAGACACGCAAGAAAAATGTGCTGCTCTTTAGCAGACAAGCATTTAATCACTAATGGCACCCCCATACGTGGGCACACCACACACCCAGTCATACGATGCTGCGGCACCATGCAGCTCAAAGCGCCTCTGTTTAAAAAAAAGAGCCAGGGACTTCTTTTCCTGGGTTTCTTGTGAGAAGAGCAGCCCATTGGAATGGCGAGGCTGCCATTTGGGCACATTATGCTCCCCATGTGCACACATATCTTCAATGGGGCAGCACAGTGGCTAAGTGGTTATCCCTTCCGCCTGGCAGCACTCGGGTCGTTGGTTCAAATCCCAACCACGGCACCACCTGCCAGGAGTTTTTATGTGCTACCTGTGTGGGTTTCCTCCAGGTACTCCGGTTTCCTCCCACACTCCAAAGACATGCTGGTAGGTGAATTGACCCTAGTATGTGTATGTATGAATGTGAGTAAAGGCGGCCATAGATTTCCAATTTTCTTGCCAAAAAAATCGGCCGATATTCATACTGTTAGTGGGGGAAAATGTTGGCCGTTTTTCTTAATTTTAAGAGATTTTGAAAATCGTCCAAGCTGGAAAATCCTGGGACGATTTGTTAGATCAGCCGATTTTCTCAGTAATTTATGGTCACATCGGCCATTCTTCTGGCTGATTTGACAATAAATTGACTATGAAGAAAAAGAAGAAATAGAAGAAATAGATTTTGCAGGAGAAGAAGAAATAGAATATCAAGAAGAAGAATAGAAGACAAGAGGATGAAATAGATTTTGCAGAAGAAGACGGAGAAGAAAAAAAGTTGCAACATTGTATCTATTTGTATGCATTTCGCATACAGATGTTTCTTTTCAAGTACAAATAGATACAATGTTGTTTCTCTTCTTCTTGTGCATAATCTATTTCTTTTGTCAAATATAATAGCGGGTCTCTATGCAGGGACACCGCCAGGGGCGGACTGACAACTCATGGGGCCCCCGGGCAATAGGGGATTCATGGGGCCCCTGTGTCCTCGCCCACACTCAAACCACACCCAAAAAAGCCTATGAAAGGTACCAGGGGCATCTCATGGGGCCCCCTACTGACCCTGGGCCCTTGGGAAGTGCCCGAGCACCCGAATGGTCAGTCCGCCCCTGGACACCGCTATTATATTAATTGACGGCCGTAGACGGGACTAAAACCTGCCGACTTTTTTTTTTAATTAGTGGCAACGTAGGCCATCTGAACGACCGATTTACGACTTTAAAAAAATAAAAAAAAAACTCCCGATTTTCCCCATGTCTATGGCCTGCTTTAGGGACTTTAGATTGTACGCTCCTCGGGGCGGGGACTGATGTGAATGTACAATGTATATGTAAAGCGCTGCGTAAATTGATGCCGCTATACAAGTACCTGTATTAAATACCATCTTTTTTTGCCTTTGGGATTCTCTTTTTGTTTTTTGATGCGTTACTTTTTATATACAGTTGTGTTCAAAATAATAGCATTGTGTTGAAAAAAGTGAATAAAGCTGAAAATCCTTCTAATAGCTTTTATTTCCATCCACACAAATGCATTGGGAACACGACACATTCTATTCCAAATCAAAACATGAAGAAAAATACATCAAATTTGTGTTGTTCCCTCTAAAAAAAGTGAAGAAAAGTGAATATTAGACGGTTCCAAAAAATCGCAGTGTTTGTATTCTTCTTTACAAACTCAAACATTCACTATATAAACTGAGAAATGTTTGAAGATTTTGCTTTCCTTTGAATGACTTCATGAATATTTGGTTGTAGTCGCACTGTTTCTGAGAACTGCTGTACATCTGTGTTGCATGGAGTCCCCCAACTTCTGGCCCCTGTGATCAGGTATTCCAGCCCAGGATGATTGGACCACATTCCACAGTTCTTCTCTATCTCTTGGTTTGGCCTCAGAAACGGCATTTTTGATGTCACCCCACAAGATTTCTATTGGATGAAGATCCGGGGATTGGGCTGGCCGCTCCATAACGTCCATCTTGTTGGTCTGGAACCAAGATGTTGCACGTTTACTGGTGTGTTTGGGGTCGTTGTCTTGTTGGAACCCCCATTTCAAGGGCATTTCCTCTTCAGTATAAGGCAGCATGAGCTCTTCAAGTATTCTGATGTATTCAAACTGATCCATGATCCCTGGTATGCGATAAATAGGCCCAACACCGTAGTATGAGAAACATCCCCATATCATGATGCTTGCACCACCATGCTTCACGGTCTTCACAGTGTACTGTGGCTTAAATTCAGTGTTTGGGGGTTGTCTGACAAACTGTCTCCGCCCACTAGACCCAAAAAGAACAATCTTACTTTCATCAGTCCACAAAATGTTGCGCCATTTCTCTTTAGGCCGGTCAATGTGCTTTTTGGCAGATTGTAACCTCTTCAGCACACGTCTTTTTCCCAACAGTGGGACTTTGCGGGGACTTCTTGCAGATAGCTTGGCTTCACATAGGCGTCTTCTAATTGTAACAGTCCTCACAGGGAACGTCACACCTTCTTTCATCTTCCTGGAGCTGATTGTTGGCTCAGTCCGCGCCATTTTGGCTATTCTTCTATCCATTCCAATGGTAGTTTTTCTCTTTCTTCCACGTCTTTCAGGTTTTGGTTGCCATTTTAAAGCATTTGCCATCATTTTAGCTGAGCAGCCGATCATTTTCTGCACTTCTTTATATGTTTTCCCCTCCAATCAACTTTTTAATCAAGGTACGCTGTTCTTCTGAACAATGTCTGGAACGACCCATTTTCCTCAGAATTTCAGAGAGAAATGCACTGTAACCAGCATGTCCAACATTTGCTGCCTTCCTTCCTTAAATAAGGGCAATAATTGCCACCTGTTTATCAAAGAATGAATGACCTCACTAATAGAACTCCACACTGCTATCATTTTGAACACGCCCCTTTCAATGAGTGATTCAATGACACAGAATCAGCAGCATGCATGTCATGACTGTTGGGTCTGTTGGATTTCTATTACTCTACTACACCTGCTAGGAAATTATTTGCCATGTAGAAATATCATTTCCACCAAAAACAGTGATTGATCCGGTTAGTGATGTCTGACGGCTATTATTTTGAACACAACTGTATATATTTTTATGCTGTTTTGATATATTCCTCTCTGAATATGGATGTTTTTTTTGTGATTCTTTGTGATTTTTTGCACTTTATCCCGAGTAGATTTGCTTTTTTTGTATATATTATTAGATTTAAGTTTTGATTCTTTACAAATCTGTCTTCTCAGCTCGTATCTTCTCGGGATAGTCGCTTGTTTTTATCTGTGTGTGTTATTTCATTTTTCGTTTTCCTTTTTAATGATACATTTTCTCATGCTTTTTATTCATTATTCTTTATCTCTCTCTTTGTTTCTCTTCTTATTCCATTTCGTTTTGCTTTTCTTTCTTCTTTGTTGTTTTCTGATTTCACTCTTTTTGATACAATGGTTTTATATGTTCTGTTACAATGTACTTAGTAGGCTTATGGCGGCCATAGACGGTTCAAAAATCGGCCGATTTTTCGTCCGAAAAATTAATTGGCCGGTTTTCGTGTTTTTTTCCACTTTTGGATTATCGGTCCTGTTGGAAAATTCGTGGAAAATGACCGATTCTTCACGTCAATGACCAAATCGTACGATCGTTTTTACGAAAAAAAATATGCGCATGAGCCGTGACCTGGAAGGAACAGAAGTTTTGGCTGTTATATGGGGTGAACTTTACGACTCGGTCGGCCGATTTTTGTAATCGGTGGTTACGTCGGTTTAACAAACGACCAATTTTTTTTACCATTCGAAAAAAAACGCACGGTTTTCAAGCCGTCTATGGCCTGCATTAGGCTGGACATACACTATACAATTTTCTTGAGATTTTGGTTTAGATTTACCAAAAAACATGTAATAGGAGGTCAAACCTAACAACACTTTCAGTTGTATCCAGTTAGGCAGGCCATACACTATACAATTTTCTGTCCAATTTCTGCCCAATTTCCTTTAGATTTACCTTCAACTATGTGGTGCAAGAGCCGGCCTGTTTGGATACAATTGAAAGTGTTGTTAGGTTTGACCTCCTATTATATGGTTTTTGGTAAATCTAAACCAAAAATCTAAAAAAAAAAATTGTATAGTGTATGGCCAGCCTTATCCTCAGGATTCAGGCGTGCTGATTAGGACAGGTGTTCTTCATTAACTAAGGCCGGCCATACATTATACAATTTTTTTGAGATTTTTGGTTTAGATTTACCAAATACCATATAATAGGAGGTCAAACCTAAAACACTTTCATTTGTATCCAATTAGGCCGGCTCTTGCACCACATAGTTGAAGGTAAATCTAAAGGAAATTGGCAGAAAATTGTATAGTGTATGGCCAGCCTAACGCCTGTACAAGACAGCATTTTTATTGTTTTCTTTGTTATGACTAAGGCAGGCCATACACTATAGAATTTTCTGTCCAATTTCCTTTAGATTTACCTTCAACTATGTAGTGCAAGGGCCCGCCATATGCAGGCCATAGACGAGTCAAACATCGGCCAATTTTTCGAAAAAAAACCCCCCTAAAAATCGGTCGTTCGTTCGGCCGACCTTACCAACATTAAAAAAAAAAAAAAAAAAAAAAAAAAAATCGGCCGACAAAACCATAGAGTTCACCCCATAACTTCTGTCCCTTGCAGGTCACAACTCATGCGCAGACTTTTTATCGATAAAACGATCGCCCGATTTGCCCATCATTGCCGGGAAAATTAGCCGATCATTAAAAATCGGCTGCAAATTTTCCAATATGACCGATAAAAAAAAAACTGCAAAAAACCTGAAAAACGGCCAACCAATTAACCCACAGCAGTGCAAAAATCGGCGGAAAAAAAAATCAGCCGATTTTTGAACCGTCTATGGTCGGCATTAGCCCCCGATCATATCAAAGGCCGATTTTGAAATCGTGCGACTTACAGTGAAGTCGCACGATTTCAAAATCGGGTGACATGCCGATTTCAGTTGCGATTCGCTAGACATCTGATACAGAGGTCTATGCAATTCGCAGCAAAATTTGCACATGGACTACTTTCAGGGGCGGACTGACAACTCATGGGGCCCCCAGGCAATAGGGGATCATGGGGCCCCTGTGTCCTTGCCCACACTCAAAAAAAGCCTATGAAAGGTACCAGGGGCATCTCATGGGGCCCCCTACTGACCCCGGGCCCTCGGGCAGTGCCCGAGTTTCCAAATGGTCAGTCCGCCCCTGACTACTTTAGAAATCGGTTGTGGCTCTAACTGAGTCAGAACCGCGCCGATATGACCGCTCTAAAAGCGGACAATAGGGTGCGACTTGGCATGCAATGTGCAAGTCGCAGGGCATGGAAATCGCACCCGATGTGACCGGGGTGTAATGCAGACCATCGACGGTTCGTTTATCGGCCGAATTTTTGGCCAATGATTACAAAAATCAGCGTAAATTTTCCAGCAGGACCGATAAAAGAAATGAGGAGGAACCGCAAAAATCGGCCAATGACATTGCCCCAATAATGGTGCGAATCAGGGGCGGACTGACCATTTGGAAACTCGGGCACCGGGGTCAGTAGGGGGCCCCATGAGATGCCCCTGGTACCTTTTTCATTGGCTTTTTTGAGTTTGGGCAAGGACATAGGGGCCCCATGATCCCCTATTGCCCGGGGGCCCCATGAGTTGTCAGTCCACCCCTGGTGCGAATATTATTCTTTTGGACGAACATTAGCCGATAAGCGCGAACCATCTATGGCCTGCATAAGTCTCTGTTTATATCTCAGCGTTGTAGGCGCAGTGCGGTAAAATAAATCCCACTTGCCGCATTTTTTGATGCGCTTTCATGAAAACGTACGTTACAGGCCTCATTCACACAGGTAGACCAATCCGGGTTGTCTTCTCCTCCAGATATACAGTCTGCCTGCCTCCCGATTCATGCATTGGACCTGCAGAGGTGTACACTCCGGGATGCAGGTGGAGATCCATGTCATTGATTTGAACAGACCGCCGCCTGCACGGAACACCGGTGCGCCCAGTGCGTCCTGTGAGAAAACGACCCTTTGCATAGGCATACGGACAGGGGCGGACTGACCATTTGGAAACTCAGGCACTGCCCGGGGGGCCCGGGGTCAGTAGGGGGCCCCATGAGATGTCCCCTGGTACCTTTGTCATAGGCTTTTTTGAGTTTGGGCAAGAACACAGGGGCCCCATGATCCCCTATTGTCCGGGGGCCCGATGAGTTGTCAGTCCGCCCCTGCATACGGATCAGTCTAATAAGTTCAGTGTCACACCTAAGCGTTTTCTGCAGCGTTTTGCAAAAACGCAGCACAGTCCATTTAACATGATTTCCTATGGGACACGTTCACATTTGTGCGTTTTCACCCCGCCGCGCGTTTTTTTGGAAAGGGGGGGACTTTTTTTTAATGCAAAACGTTGCATTTTTGGTTTTATAGACTTCAATGGGAATGCTGCAGAAAAGCCTGTATTGTGTTTTTTTTTGCTGCTTTTTTATGTGTTTTTGATGAGTTTTGAGTTTAAAATCTGCCCAGCAACAAGGAAAAAAAAACAAAATGCATCAAAACCTTGGCAAAAACACAAAACGCAATGCAGAAACGCCTCAAACGCAACCTGCAAAAGGTGTGAACCTAGGCCCTAGGGGAAGTGTGTGAAGGAGGCTGTGTATAGTCAATGGTAAAGCACAACGCACTGGCCAAATCTGAACCAGCCCTAAGTGCCAAGTGGGAGGGTCTGCGTTGTCTATAAATCGCATGGCCAGTCTCAGGCTGAAACCTCCAGTGCAGTAAACCTGCAGCTGCTGCTGGGGATGTCATATATACCAGGCAACTCATTACCTGCAACACCTGCAATTCAAGATCTGAGCAGATTTCTGCCAGAGGCCACGAGTTGGCTACAAGGAGCTTTGGAAAAACCAGTCTGCAGACTGAGTACTGTTGCCTTGGTTGCAGAGAACAGAATCTGTTAGGGCTCATTTACACCGCAAGGACTGTCACTGCTCTGAAAAGCAATCCATGCTCAGATCTCTTTTCAGAGGGCTTTGACAGGCAGCGACGATACCATATGTCACTTCCTCACAGCATTACCCCCACCTCCTCCACCTTTGTCCCTCATACACCCCACTCCCCCCCCAACTCATCACCTGCCCCATGCTACCCTACATCTACCCCACTCTCCCGCACTCCACCACTTACTCCACCCTACCCTACATCTACCCCACTCTCCTGCACTCCTCCCCCCCCCTACATCTACCCCACTACCTCCTCCACCCTACCCCACTCTCCCGCACTCCTCCACCCTACCCTACATCTACCCCACTCTCCCGCATCCTCCTCCGCCACCCTACCCCACTCTCCCGCACTCCTCCACCCTACCCTACCCTACATCTACCCCACTCTCCCGCACTCCTCCACCCTACCCTACATCTACCCCCTCTCCCGCACTCCTCCGCCACCCTACCCCCACTCTCCCGCACTCCTCCACCCTACCCTACCCTACATCTACCCCACTCTCCCGCACTCCTCCACCCTACCATCTACCCCCTCTCCCTCACTCCTCCACCCTACCCCTACCCTACCCCACTCTCCTGCACTCCTCCACCACCTCCTCCACCCTACCCTACATCTACCCCACTCTCCCCCCCCACCTCCTCCACCCTACCCTACATCTACCCCACTCCCCTCCCGCACTACCCCTCCACCCTACCCTACCCCACTCCTCCACCCTATCCTACACCCCACCCCCCCACTCTCCCGCACTCCCCCACCCTACCCTACATCTACCCTACTCCTCCACCCTACCCTACCCCACTCCCCTGCACTCCTCCACTCCTCCACCACCACCTCCACCCTACCCTATATCTACCCCCACTCTCCCGCACTCCTCCACCACCCTACCCCACTCACCTTTCCGCACTCCTCCACCCTACCCTCCATCTACCCACTCTCCCGCACCTCCTCCACCCACCCTACCCCCCACTCCACCCCACTCCTACCTTACATCTACCCACTCTCCCGCACTCCCCAACTCCCCCTCCTCCGCCCTACCCTACATCTATCCCACTCTCCTGCACTCCTCCACCCTACCCTACATCCCCCCCTCCTCTCCCGCCACCCTACCCCCACCCTACCCACATCTACCCCACCCTCCCCTCCCCCCCACTCCCCTCCCCTACCCTACCCTACATCTACCCCACTCTCCCGCACTCCTCCACCACCCTACCCCCTCTCCTGCACTCCTCCCACCCTACCCTACATCTACCCCACTCTCCGGCACTCCTCCACCCTACCCTCCCCTACCCTACTCCCCACTCTCCACCCCCCCACTCCTCCACCCTACCCTACATCTACCCCACTCTCCCGCACTCCTCCACCCACCCTACCCCCCTCACCCGCACTCCTCCACCCTACCCTACCCTACTCCCCCCCCCCCCTCTCCCGCACTCCTCCACCCTACCCTACATCTACCCCACTCTCCTGCACTCCTCCACCACCTCCTCCACCCTACCCTACATCTCCCCCCACTCCCCCCGCCACCTCCTCCCCCCTACCCACCCCTACATCTACCCCACTCTCCCGCACTCCTCCACCCTACCCTACATCTACCCCACTCCTCCACCCTACCCTACACCTACCCCCCTCCTCCCCCCACTCCTCCACCCTACCCTACATCTACCCCCACCCTACCCCACTCCCCCTGCACTCCTCCACCACCACCTCCACCCTACCCTACCCCCCACTCTCCTGCACTCCTCCACCACCACCTCCACCCTACCCTATATCCCCCTCCCACTCCCCTCCCGCACTCCTCCACCACCACCCTACCCCCTCCTCCTCCACCCTACCACTCTCCATCTACCCCAACTCTCCCTCCCCACTCCCCCCTCCACCACCCTCCCCCCCCCCCCCACTACCCTCCACTCTCCCCCAACCCCCCCCACCCTCCACCACCCTACCCCCACTCCTACCCACCCTACTCCCTTACATCTACCCCACTCTCCCGCACTCCTCCACCACCTCCTCCGCCCTGCACCCTACCATCCCCCACTCTCCTGCACACCTCCCGCACCCCCTACCCTACATCTACCCCACTCTCCCGCACTCCTCCACCCTACCCTACCCTACCCCACTCTCCCGCACTCCTCCACCACCCTACCCTACATCTACCCCCACTCCTCCACCCTACCCTACATCTACCCCACTCCTCCACCCTACCTTACATCTACCCCACTCTCCCGCACTCCTCCACCACCCTACCCTACATCTACCCCACTCCTCCACCCTACCCTACCCCTCTCCCCCGCACTCCTCCACCACCCTACCCTACATCTACCCCACTCCTCCACCCTACTACCCTACCCCACTCTCCCGCACTCCTCCACCACCACCTCCACCCTACCCTATATCTACCCCACTCTCCCGCACTCCTCCACCACCCTACCCCACTCTTCCGCACTCCTCCACCCTACCCTCCCCATCTACCCAACTCTCCCACACTCCTCCACCACACCTTACATCTACCCCACTCTCCCGCACTCCTCCACCACCTCCTCCGCCCTACCCTACATCTATCCCACTCTCCCGCACTCCTCCACCCTACCCTACATCTACCCCACTCTCCCGCACTCCTCCACCCTACCCTACATCTACCTTGCTCTCCCGCACTCCACTCTACCCTACATCTACCCCGCTCTCTCCCCACTCCACCCTACCCTACATCTACCCCCGCTCTCCACCCTACCCTACATCTACCCCACTCTCCCACACTCCTCCACCCTACCCTACATCTACCCCACTCTCCCACACTCCTCCACCCTACCCTACACTACCCCACTCCTCCACCCTACCCTACATCTACCCCACTCTCCTTCACCACCTTCTCCACTCTACATCTCAGCACAATACTGGGATCAGGAGGGCACGGTACAGGGGGGAGTCAGGAGGGCACAATACAGGTTCTGGGATGCTGCCCAGACAAAGCCATCTCGGGACAGCTTAGTAAAGTGTGACTGTCCTGGTAAATCCGGGACAGTTGGCAAGTTTAGTGTAATTCAAGAGTAACATGGGGTCCCTGGCCAGTGCCTATGCTTTAAGACAGCCCTGCCTCTTCTCCCTCCATCTCACTTTTCTATGTATCCCCCCCTTCCCTCAGACTCACCCAGTTCATTTCCACCTTCATCATCACGGGCCAAATCCAGCTCCACCTTCCAAACACCCCTAGCAAGACTTTCAAGGGAACCCCAAATGGAGACATCTCTGCTCCACCCAGAACTGATCAGATCTTATTTATTTGTTTACCTGTGTGCCTTGTCACCCCCCCCCCCCAGGCCAAGGAGCCTCAGCCTGGGGAGTAAAGCTGCTGGTCTGATGACCTCTGCTCCCAACTATGGCAAGGGGGGAGGGGAGGGAGTACTCTGCATTAATCAGGCTCCGCCTGGGCGTGTCTGTTACATCTCAGTTGGGTGTACTTCCTAATAGTGAACAATACCAGCTGTCCCGTTAAGCTGTTGCTACAAATATTCTATTTTTTTTTTTTTTTTTTTTTAAAACCAAAATGCAGTTGGGGTAGTTTCCTCCAATCTTAAAGCTGAATTTCAGGCAAACAACTAAATAAAAAGGTTCAATACATAAATGGGGACTGCTTTACCTGACAAAGGACTTGTATTCCTGTCTGTAGATGCAGTAAAGCATGCTTGTTATACTCACTGTGGAACCTAAGGGGTTAATCATCTGCATTGTGTGAAACTGCTATTTGATCCTGCCTTCTCTGATCCTCCCCTTATCTCCTGATAAGACATATCTGTGGAGTCACTCTGCACATGCTCAGTTTGGTGTGTATTGCTAGAGGTATTTTTTTTCTTGGGAAAATACATGTGATCAGCACAGGGCCAATCGGCTCTGTCTAGACAGAGGTCAGGGGTTCTGCATCTTCCTAGAGCAGAAAGAACTCCCACAAGCTTTAACTGCTGGACACTGATAGAAGTCACAAGACTGCTAATGAGAAAAGGGATTTAGCAGTTTATATTTACTAAAATAATTTATTTCCATGTTCTGTGGGAGAGCAGATAGAGTGAATGCGGGGGTCCGGGGAGAGCAGATAGAGTGAATGCGGGGTAATGGGAGAGGGTATATAGAGAATGCGGGGTCCGGGGAGAGCGGATAGAGTGAATGCGGGGGTCCGGGGTTTAGTAACACTTTAAATGATAATTTATATTCCAAAGAA